TATTAAAGTTGATCCAAAATAAATGAACTGTTCTAAGTTTTTTTATGATCCGTTTTGTTTGTTTGGTTTTTAGGATGGTTCAGTTAGCACCCTGGAGCCTGAAATAACACAATCTGTTCCTTTCTCTGTGATGACAAGTGGAGCCGGTAGAAGCCTCACCATCCAAGCTACCAGTGATCAAAKCTTCCCATTAACTTTCCCATCCATTTTAAACCTGGATGCTGGAGGCAGTGCTAATGGTACTGTTAACATCACAGCACCTGCTAACACTCCTTCTGGTACCGGTGTCACCCTGACCATCCAGGCTGTGGATCCAGGAAGTGCCGACACCAACTACGCTGTGCTGCGGTTCACCGTCCTCCAAAAGGTTATTTTTGAATTATAAAAAAAGGCATTTTAACGTACCTCTGGTGTAAATATTTATAGTTTTTTCACTCTCCTGTAGGTGACTGATTTCATTCAGCCAGTGTGTCAGCTGCTCAGCCTGCAGTCCAACTGCTCTGACAACTGCAGCCAGTCATGGGAGCTCTCTGTGCAGTTCAGCGATGGGGTGAACGGGACCGGCGTTAACCGTGTCAGCCTCCAAGAAGGCAACGGCACCTTGAACACCAGCTCTGTGGTCGGCCCTGAGAACATAACTCTGGTGTCATATACGGCATCCTGCTGCTCACCTGATGTCAAGCTGGTGGCTGTAGACCAGGTGGGCAATGTGGGAACCTGTAGCTACTCTGTTCGTGCAGCCGTCACACAGAATACTACGATTACTAATACTACAACTACTACAGCATCCACTACAGCTACTACAACCGCTTCTACCACATCTTCATCTCATAGAGCTGTTCAGTCAGTTTTTCTTATTTTGTGCATCGCAGTCTTTAGTTTTACTTTACAATCTGAAACTTAAATTATGTAAATGTTTAGATTATCAGTGGAGGAAATAGCTCATCAAAAAGTTAGCTTCACTTACCTTTATCCCCCAAACAAGAATCTCAGTTCCACTAATGTTAAACCGCTAAACAAATTAAAAATAAGGGGAAGCTAATGCTAATCAATAACCACTAGTCCACCTTGACTCAGCTTATATAAGTTGAATTTTCCTATTGGTTTAATTTGAAGATGACGGGGATCATTTGTGGCAAATCACCCACATCACTTGTGATACTTCCAGTTTATCCCTTTCAGAATAAAAGCATTTATTTGATCGAGTTTGTGTTTTCTAAATATCATCTGAAGTCAGTAAAACAATATTTTATACATAGCCAAAGTTTACACTTAWTTAAATATTAGCTTTTTTCTTTTTGACACTCTAAGTTTGACGTTTAGCTGCTGAAGATGCTACATGCAACACAAACGGTGCCTGAAGTGTTCAGCGCTGCTTTTAAAAGGGAATCGTTTTTATTTAGTTTGGGAAAAATGGCATAAAAATAAAGTTTTTAACGCTTGTAAGTTTTTTGAAATCATAAAATTGGCTGAACCTAATACAGTGGAAGCTAATTAGTCCACTAATGGTTTCCAAAGTTAGCAATGAAATGATTCCCCTAAACCAGAACCTAGTTCCGTTATTATCGGTTTAGCAGAACTGTGCCAACCATTGTCAAATATAATGTTGGATTTTGGAAAATCAACCAAATACTTGGCAATTAGCAGTGAACAATATTTCACTATATCTTGAATAAGGTGTCATCGTTGATGATAAACTGACATGGAAAAAAAATCATATAAATAATTTAAGAACAAAAACAGCCAAATCTATTGGAGTCCTGTACAAAGTAAGAGAACTGTTCAATGATAAAGCACTACTTATGTTGTCTAACGCTATAATTGTTCCACATTTAATTTACGTTATTGAAGTCTGGTGTAAAGCTTGTAAAACATCACAAATCCTGTTTTTATTTTACAGAAAAGAGCTTTAAGAATTATTACTAAAATATTACAGTCATCCATCCAATATATTGTTTTATGAATTGAAATGATTAAAATTCTATGATTTGGTCGACTATAATATTTTACTGTTAATGTACAGAGCTCATAATTGTGTGTTACCTTCCAACATTCAAGTAAATTTTGTTAAAAGAGAGAGCTGTTGTTATATTAAAGGAATCGAAATGTTTGTGAAACCCTGGTTTCGTACGAGCCTGAAGGAGCGATCCACTTTAATCCAGGGAATAAGTTTGTGAAACAGTCTGGAAGATGAGGTTAAAATTGCCAGATCTTCATATATATTAAAGAGAATGATAAAAACTAGTATTCTGAAGAAATATTGAGAAGTATAAGTGAATTCATGCAAATTGTTGTTTTGAGTTGGTGTTTTAAATTTAGCTTTGTTTTTAGTTTTTTGTGTGTTTTCAGTTGTTTTGATTTTTGTTGTAATTTACTTTTATTTTGAACATATTTTGGGTATAAAAGGGGCAGATATTTTAAGATTTTATAAGATTTATTCTTCTTCTGCTGCCTTTTATTTTTTTATTTTATTTTGATTGCATGTTTTTTGTTCTTTGTTGTGTGTATTGTTACAAATAAAATGAATACATTAAAATTATATGTTTTAATCAAAGAAATAAATAGGTTAATTAAAGATAATAAAATATTAAAAATGATAAACTAAGTATAATAAATATAAATCTTAAAGACATTATTTTTAACATATTTTGCTACTTGTTGATATGAAATGCAAAACACAAAAATGTGTTTCTAAAATCTTGCTGACATGAGTTGTTGCTTACTGAAATACTAACATAGATATTGCATATTTTTGGGATTAATACAGTACTTGCTCTAAAACGTTCTTATTTCTATAAGATATACAACAATTATTATGTTAGAAGGTAAATTAGTTGTGGTTTAAAAAGTGTTTTCTTAGTCTGGAACATAAGTTGGTAATATTGTTGAGGTGTAAAATGGGCTCGGGTCTTATCAGTTTTATTGGTGTGTAAGAAGAAAAATAGTCATAAAGAAAAGTCTGAAGTGTATTTTTGTGACCATGTTTGGTGGAACATGTATTGTAACAATGACAACATAATAAAGGATGATCCAACAGTGCTTCATTGTGGCACAGGATCTAAAATAAGTAACTACACACATCATGTCAGTGCAATTAAACAGATTGTTTTCTTATAAATGTTTTCTTTTTGTTTCAAATTACTTGTTTAAATACACATTGACATTTGGAACAGCCCAGATGATGGATCTGGAGGTTTTTGATTGGTTTTTTGACAACTTTTGAGTTGACTTCAGAACACCTCAAACACATCGCGTCTTTGTGTGATGACACAGGAAAATCTACAGGAGCTGTGAATGTCTACAACGCTGGCTCATCCCTGGGTATAATTTTTAAAGTGTCTGAAAGGGCCACATTCATCAGTTCAAACAACTATACACAAGTGTAAACACCATGGGAATGTCCTGTCGGTATATCTCTCAGGAAAGAGACAGGTTTTTGGTTCCTAAGACAAATATTTTGTGAAGATGTTGCTGATGATCCGCACTGAAACAAGTCTATGAAACTAGACTTGTACCAATGTGAGCTGAACGGCCACTCGGTGAGGAGGAAAACATTACTTTGGAAGCAACGTAAAAAAGCCAGATTATAGTTTGTAAATGCAAACACAGAGACAAAGCTCWGTTTCTGGGTGATGCTTGAGCAGGAGATGGATCAATGGACTGGAGCCTGGTCCTCAGTAATGAAGGCACTGTGGTGAAGAAAGAGCTGAGTCGAAAGGAAAAGCTCTCGATTACTAGTCTGTTTACATTCCAGCCCACACCTGTGGTCATTAGGCGTGGATCATGACCAAAAGTGCAAGATCCCTGAAGCAAGCAGCCTAAAATTGCTTACATTGTAGGTCGGCCAGGTTCAGCCAGAGGGTGAGGAGCTCCGTCATCTGGGCGGAGCTCAGAGATGCCGCTCATTTGCATAGAAAGGAGTCAGTTGAGGTTTTCGAGCTTTAGTATCCTGGATGACCCGCTTTAAATGTGTCCCGGGATTGTCCCACTGGCAGAAGGCCCCGGGAAAGACCCAGGACTCCCTGGAGAGATGATTTATCCTCTCTTGTCTGGGAACAGCTTAGGGTCACCCAGGATGAGCTGGAAAGTGCAGCTGACAAACGGCAGAAGATGGAGCTGGAGAGATGGAACGAAGCCCTCATTTTTGGATACATGTCTGGTGCTTTGATGAAATTAAAAACTGAACTGTTTGGTCACAATGACCATCGATACAGAGAGAGGGAGAAAAAGKGAAACAACATCCCCACTGTGAAGTACGGAGGTTGCAGCATCATGCTGTGGGGGTGTTATGCTGTAGGAGGGACTGTTGCACCATCGAGATAAACAAACCAACCCCCAACAGCTTTAACCCCGAAACTGAGTTATCAAAACAGTTTTAAATGTGTAATTATTTCATTGTTTTAATTACCAGCAAAAGCAATGGTGTGATCATTTTTATTCACAGTTACATTTGCATTTTCCCCCTCCTATCTATTATCAGTTAAGTTTAACTTTAGGAATGAAAAATATGCAGTCAGTCAAGCTGTGGTTTCCAAGAAAAAATGTGGGGAAAAGTCACATTTTTGCTGTGACTTTGTCTTTCTTATAATATTGCAGTTAAATTAAAATATACTGAAGGCTGTATATTTTAGGACCAGTGGTAAAATAACTGCACATTTGTATTTCTGGAGAGGTTTGAGCTGAGATATACTGTATGTTTGTGTGCTGTCCACTGCTTTTTTAAATCAGTTTAATTCAGTAAAAACAATTTAATTATTTGAATCTTTTCATTGTGTACACTCACTATATGAGTTTCCTCCATTTAAAACAGAAATAGAAAAACACACAGTTGTACATAACATTTAAAATTCAATAAAATGTAAGGTTAAAAAAATAACTGATCAGCAAAATGAGTAGCTTATACATTTTCTTATCAGAGATTTACAATTTCAAAAAAGGAGCACTAAGATGTTGTGACATAAACAAGTAGAACAGGAGACTAACTCCTCCCTGAAAGAAACCATGATAAAAAAAAGGTGTTGACAGAAACACACAAAGTGTAGTGGACACCAGCAAGGTCAGTAGGTTTTTTCTTCTTACACCTAAACATGCATGGACAGACATCTGACCATGGAGAGAATGTAAAACCAGTAAGATGATTTAAAACGGTGACTTTTGTAACTATAGTAGTGAAACTGTTAACACATGCAAGAAATTAAGGTAAATAGAGTTAACAGCAGTTAATGATCTATCTGTGCGTTTGTCAGTGTGTTAGTAAAATATCTCAATGACATTAGACAAATTCCGATTAAAGTTCTAGAAAACAGCTATTGCTACATCTACACCTGATTAACTGCAGCTTTTCAAAGTTAGAAAACATAATGGCTTTTTCTCATTTTACACATACTGTATCCTGCATATTTAGCATGATTAGAGCTGAATCTTTAACAACACATGCACATATATGTTTAGACTCAATCATATAAAAAGACAACCACCATAACCTATGCAGCAAAGTCTGTAGCTTAGTTAAAATTACAGATTTTAAGCTCTAATTTGATTATGTGAGCGCTGCGCTACACTACTACATACCATAAAAATGCTTGAGATTTTATTTAATCAAAATGGCAACAACTTTTACTCTGCATAGGATGATTTTAGTTTAAAACTCTGGCCCTTAATTCTGTACAGTTCACAGACATAAACAAAAGCGATTCTTTAAGAAAACAMTTACGAGGTCTCGAGTTGAAAAGTTTTCGAATAGATCAAAAAATTACAATRGAACATGATAAGAAAAATGCTGGAATATACAATTAACATAATAGACATTTAGAAATTATGTTAAAGATGGGTTTATCATCCTAAAAAAGACATTGGCATTTAAAAAATTAAATAAGCAAAAATACGACCATCTGTTTGCAGAACAGAGGCCAAAGGTCAAAACTTTATACGCTGTTACCCAACATCTGTCTTAGGAAAGGTCTAAAAGATGTGGAAACAGATTTTAACTGTTCTGTCTTCTGAACGCTTTAAATCAGTCCTGACATTTGAACCCCTGAGATTATTTACTACATATACAAGACAAATGGCAGACATTTTGAAAGTCGTTATAGCTGAAAATCTACAATACATAAATGTCTTTTTTTTTACTGTCCAAATTCCAGTTTTTTTTTTTTTAATTTAACGGATGTGGCCTCACTGTGTCAGGTTGTGTCGTGATGTTTGGGCTGGCAGCGTTGTGTCTCGCTCTTCTGCAATGTGGAGTTGAAGGTTTTACYATTTTTCCTGGAAATGCTTTAAATCACCAAAAGATCACGGAGAGAGCCATCCTGGAGTTCACAGTGCAGGTGTGTCGCTCTTTGGCTCTGGCTGAGGGGAAGAGCTTCGCTTCTCCAGTAAGACTCATCTTTACAGAATTAAGATCATTTTAGTTTAATATGCTGTGATATTCAGTTGTGAAAACGGTTTGTCTTGTTTTAGTCCCAGCCTTTTACAGCTAAGATGGTCATCGCTTCTTGTGAAGCGCACAAATCTTCCAAGAGCTTTTACGAATCCATCACCCAGATCAAAACTTATAACTGGTTAACAGACATCCGCCATTTCTTCAACCCACCCTTTCACTTCGACGATGAGTCGTTTGGAGAAGGAAGAAACCTCATCACAGATGGACTGTTTGCTGTTAAAGCTGCTAACAAGGAAGGCAACTATTTGTCAGCATTAACAAACCTGGGAGGGATTTTACACACCTTACAGGTACGTTTTGTTAGTATTTAGTTGGTTCAAACAAAATACCAGTTCCCTCCAAAATAGTCCTTCAGAAGTGAATCAAAAACAYATTTTAGGAACCTCCTACCATTTCTGACACTCCCACTTCAGCACATCTTCACAACATTGCTTTGGGGGAGGGGTCCTCAGTGGGGCAGGAGCTCGGCTGCAGACTGAGCTCCAGAGAGGAGCTATGCGCAAATAGGCGGAGCTTTGTACCAGCAAGTGTTTAGGYAGCTCCACATGGCTACTACAGGAAATCAAAGGATTTCTCAAACATGCATGAATGAGTCAAAGTAACACTCTTAATATGTTTTCCATGAGGGCATGATTAGCCCACTCCCCCTTTTAAAAACTGCACTTTAAGGATTTTTATGTATAATTGGGGACTGCTGTGTAGAAATGTGACATTCTTGAGTAGGGGAGGAGCATTTGTTAATGTGGTCCATGCTGGGGGAAGGGAGATTGTGCTCTTGACAAGTCACGTGACAGCAGTGCTTATGTCATACAATATACAGTATATATTTYTTGTTTTGTTTTGTTTTAGGCACTTAAATTTTATAAACTTATGTAAGAGTACCACTAGTGGGAGTGGGGCTTAAAGTGTTGACGCCCTCTTTCAAAATCGTACCTAAAGCCTTTTTCTTAGGTCATTAACCATTATAAAATGAACAAGTCTCTGAAACAAACCAATCCACAGTTTTTGTCTCCTTTCTAAGATCTGATTCCATCCCCTTTCWGTCATTTGTAGCTTTAAAAGTGTGCCAATAAAGTTAGACCTATGTGAGACAAATGTGAAATAAATTCATGTCAAATATAACGTGTGTTTTTTGTCAATCACACCTAAAGGATTTCTACAGTCACAGTAACTGGGTGGAAATGGGCAACAAACTTGTGAACTCTAACCTGATCAGAGCGAACACTAACATCGGAAACATAGCAGGTAAAGAGATTCTCTCAAACAACCGTCAGTGTATTTCTGTGCTCTGGTGGAGTCCAAATGAACTGACTCTAACACTGTTCAGTGACAACTCACAAAAACTGGAATGTTTTATTTTAAGACGTACACAGAGCCACGTGTCGCAGCTGTGTTGGAGTCGACTGCTCTGACAACATTTTGCACGACATCCTCCAGGAGCAGATACTCACGTCAGGATACGCAGCACTTCTCTCCCCTTGGAAACCCAAAGGTAAACATCTTCCTTCCTTCCATCTTCCTTTCCTCATTCGACTTCGGGCGAGTGAACGYTGGCGCATCTCTGCTGCCGCTGCTCGTCGTGCCTTCTAGCTTTTCTATCTTTTTCACTTTTTACGGACTCTTTCACGGATCCTTACCCTGGTGTTCCCACACTAAGTGTCTGCTTCGCATCACTACCAAATGTGGACTATTCAGGTTTACATGCCTGCTCTGGTTTGGACCCTCCAGCTGCTCATTCTCCACCACCCAGCGTCTGGACTCCTCCATTACTGAGCAGCTGACCTCCTGCGCCTCCGATTCCTGCCGACCGTACCCCCTCTGCTTCCTCTACAGGACATCGCCTTCTATCCTCGACGGAGATACATTCACCGTGGCTCTCGCTGCAGACTCAGCACCGACMAGACCAATCCCATTAACTCMAACTGGTCCAACTCCCACTGTTCTTCATGCCGAAACGCACGGGCTGCTAACAATACCACGTTAGCTAGCCTAGCTCGACTGGCTAATGCTCCAGTTGCCACCAACTCCTCCACTGTTAACTTTRGTCTTCTGAAAGTTCGCTCTCTTATTGGCAAAGGTCAGCTTGTTCAAGATCTGATTTCTGAGCACAATCTGGACTTTATTTGCTTAACGGAAACGTGGCAACAACAGAATGACCTTTTTCATCTGAACGAGTCTACACCACCAGGATTTGTTTTCATGGCCAAATCCTGCGAGTCCAGTCACGGAGCAGGTCTCGCGATAACTCACCACGAGAACTGGAAGGTCTCGCCGGTTCACACACCTCTTTTCACCTCCTTTGAGGAGACTCTCTGGCCCTACCCCCACCATTTTTGCCATTATTTACCGCCCTCCTAAACAAAAAGCTCTTTTTTACATGACTTTACTGCTCCACTCTCCTATCTCACAGGTCTCTCACCAAACATCATCCTGCTGGGAGACTTCAACATTCATATGGATGAATACAACAACCCTCTCACCAGAGACTTTACATCCTGCCTTGTCAGCTGTTGCCTCCAGCAATTCATCAACTTTCCCACCCAGATAAAGGGTCACACCTTGGGCTTACTTTGCTGCTCAGGACTCACTCCTCTTAACTGTACTGCTGCTGAGCTGAGTGAAACCAACCCCTCCCAAAAAACGAACCACAGAAAAAGAAGGCAAATAGGATTAGTGGTTAGTGCTTCGTTTGTGTGGGTTTGTGCACTTGAAATTGATGTTTGTTCTGCTATGGTTTTTTATATATTAAAGATTGTTTGTAAGGTTCATTCAGGGGTCACCATCCCACCCGCTTGCTCCAAAATGAACCAAACTAGTCAAATTTGGTAGTGCTTTGTTTGAGCAGGTTTGTGCCATTGAAACGGCTGTTTGTGCTGCTATAATTTATGATATATTACACGTTATAATTTCGGACGATCACGTGACTTGGCCTGAATTGTTTAAGTCTATGACAACGGCCAAGTCACGTGATCGTCCAAAATAATAACGTGTAATATATCATAAATTATAGCAGCACAAACAATGGCACAAACCTGCTCAAACAAAGCACTACAAAATTTGACTAGTTTGGTTCATTTTGGAGCAAGCGGGTGGGATGGTGACCCCTGAATGAACCTTACAAACAATCTTTAATATATAAAAAACCATAGCAGAACAAACATCAATTTCAAGTGCACAAACCCGCACAAACGAAGCACTAACCACTCATCATATTTGCCTTTTTTTTCT